ATACTGCCAGAAAGATCATCTTTTTTCTTCCCTCCCAGGGGAAAATCAGGCAAATAATCATAAAAATTAGAGGTTTGTGTTGTATGAAGAACGAATGAAATACTGATTGTAGAATGTGGAAGTGTGAATTAAACTTTGAAACATAAAACTGCTTCTATAGTTTGGATACTTTTCCCCAAAACCTCATGTTCAAAACTGATCCCCATGTTGGAGATGGGTCCTAACAGGAGGTGTTTGTGTCAAGGGGCTAGATCCCTCACGAAAGGCTTAGTGCCATCCTCATGGTGCCATCCTCGTCTCCCTCTATTATCAATAGTTCTCCTGAGAACTGGCTATTAAAAAGAGCCTGGCATGTCCCCTCTCCCTCTCTTGCTATGTGATCTCTGCACACACTGGCTCTTTCCCCTTCCACTGTGAATGGAGGCAGCCTGAGGCCCTGACAAGATGCAGATACTGGCAGTATGTTTCTTGCACAGCCTGCAGAACTCTGAGACAAATAAACCCCTTTTCTTTATATATTACCCAGCCTTGGCTGTTCCTTTATATGGAAACAAAAAGACTAAAACAGCTTTTATGAATGTTGAGCCATTTTGATTTTGATGAAAGTAAATTCACTTAAGTATTCTTTTTTCAGAAACTGAACTTTGTCAAGCTGAAGAAACTATACTATAAGTAAAGTTTATTTTTATTGCAAAAAGTTCCTAGGCAGCTAAAAGAATACCCATTTATTTCAATTTTACCATCCCAGACCAACTCTATTCATAATTTAGACAAACAAAACAGAAACCTAATATATAATATCCAGAAATTGTTGATTCTAAGATAATACACTGATGCATACAATGAAAATCAGAAACCATAAGCCTCATATTCTTTACTTCAAAGACACTGAGGAAATAACATTAAGCCAGACTGATGTAAAAGTTCCTTTTGATAGAGCTCGAGAAAGTAAAAATTAGCTCATACTGAGAAAGCAAAACGCCCTTCCACACCTCAAACTAGAACAGGAGACACAGATAAAACCAACTGAAAAGTTAACAGCAAACAGTATTTCTTCCAAGGTCATTCTGCAGCTGTAAAATGTCATAATTACCTGTTTTGAGCAACCACTGCTTTCTTACTCATCGTGACACCTTGTCTTTTTTTTTTTTTTTTTTTTGAGACGGAGTTTCAATCTTGTTACCCAGGCTGAAGTGCAATGGCGCGATCTCGGCTCACCACAACCTCCGCCTCCTGGGTTCAGGCAATTCTCCTGCCTCAGCTTCCTGAGTAGCTGGGATTACAGGCACACACCACCATGCCCAGCTAATTTTTTCTATTTTTAGTAGAGGCAGGGTTTCACCATGTTGACCAGGATGGTCTCGATCTCTTGACCTCGTGATCCACCTGCCTCAGCCTACCAAGACACCTTGTCTTTTAAAGTCATAGGCTGTCATACGTTTTGTAGTCTGATGCATCAGAAAGAATGAAAGTGACTTTGATGCTAAGAAGCAGTTTTGATTTGCAACCCAGAAGCAGACTTTCATGGGAGGCTTCTGAATATGTCATTTTACATTTAACTTTATATTTTCTAAGGAAATAGGTCCCCAGGTCCATTATGCAATCTGGATGTGGTATTGACACTTTACACAGAGCCTACTTTGCTTTAAGCCTATCACATCACTGATCTCACTGAAGTTTCAACAGAATTCCCCCTTCGTCAAGATTATATAATAATCCAGTGGGTGCCATGGGTCATGCCGGTAATCCCAGCACTTTGGGAGGCTGAGGTGGGCAGATTACTTGAGGTCAGGAGTTGAAGACCATCCTGGCCAACATGGTGAAACCCCGTCTCTACTAAAAATACAAAAATTAGCTGGACATGGTGGTGGATGCCTATAGTCCCAGCTACTAGGAGACTGAGGCACGAATATCTTTTGAACCTGGGATATGGAGGTTGCAGTGAGCCAAGATAATGCCACTGCACTCCAGCCTGGGTGGTGGAGATACAGCAAGATTCTGTCTAAAAAACAAAACAAAACAAAAAATTGTATCATAACCCTATCTATTCCTTTGTCTGGTATAAGGTGTCCCTCATGTCCCTCTTTGCAAGGAACCAACAATACTAAAAACTTTGGCCTGGTGGTCTTTGATTGAGTAGGACTATTTCTATTAACTTTTATATCATTATAAAATGATAAAAATCTCATTTGCTTTTAAAGGCTTCTTATTATCTCCTCTTCATCTTGAAGCTATTCTTATCTAGTTATTTGTTGTTAAGAAATTATTGTTTACCTAAAGTTACAACATATATACTGGTATTCTAATACTGTCCATGACCTCACTCGTTTTAGTTTGTGACTTCACTAGCATTTAAGTGTCTTAATCTTACATATGTCAGAAAGTATCAAGACTTTGCTGGGCATGGTGGCCTATGCCTGTAATCCCAGCTACTCAGGAGGCTGAGGCAGAAGAATCGCTTGTACCTGGGAGGCAGAGGTTGCAGTGAGCTGAAATTGCTACACTATACTCCAGCCTGGGCAACAGAGTGAGACTTCATCTAAATAAAAAAGTAACAAGACTCTTTGTCTTGATGTGTTCTTTGTGGTCTGATTATGATAATCACGTAATAAGAGTTCTTCATCAATCTTCTATAGTTTCTTTGTTAGATGTTTCCACTAAAAAACATATACCTGTAAAATAAAGACATTTAGCACTGAAATGCCTTCTTTTAAGAAACCATGCTACAAAAAAAACACTAATTGAAAATGTCAGCAGGGCTCAGTGGCTCACACCTGTAATCTCAGCACTTTGGGAGGCTGAAGCAGGTGGATCACCTGAGGTCAGGAGTTTGAGACCAGCTTGGCCTAAATGGTGAAACCCCGTCTTTACAGAAAATACAAAAATTAGCCAGGCATTGTGGCAGGCACCTGTAATCCCAGCTACTCGAGAGGCTGAGGCAGGAGAATTGCTTGAATGTGGGAGGCAGAGCTGAGATTGTGCCACCACACTCCAGCCTGAGCGACAGAGTGACACTCTGTCTCAAAATAAAAAAAGAAAGAAAGAAAATTTCAACAGTTATAAGCAAATCAAGCAAATTCAAAAACTAATTAAATTAATAACTTATTGATAGTAATTATCAATGCATTGGTTCTATTCAAAGTAAAATTAAACTAAGCTATGTTCAATAAAAAGGATGGAAAATTTAGGGAAGAGCCAGACAGAATTAATCTCCTACCAGGGACTCCTTCTGTCAGAACAAAAATACACTGTATGAACTGTATACCATGTCAAAAAGTATGCTATTTTCCTAAGGTTCATAGTTCAAAGTCTAAAATTATAAATAATTTCTGCCTTAAGTTTTTGAGTCTGAGCTATCATATGTCAAAAAACAATTTTAAAAAATCATTTCGGGCCAGGCATGTGGCTTATACCTGTAATCCCAGTGCTTTGGGAGGTTGAGGCAGGTGGATCATGAGGTCAAGAGTTTGAGACCAGCCTGGCCAATATGGTGAAACGTCATCTCTACTAAACATACAAAATTGGCTCAGTGTGGTGGCTTACACCTGCAATCCCAGTACTTTGGGAGGCCAAGGCAAGCAGATCACAAGGTCAAGAGATCGAGACCATCCTGGCCAACTCATGAAACCCCGTCTCTACTAAAAATACAAAAATTAGCTGGGCATGGTGGCATGTGCCTGTAGTCCCAGCTACTCGGGAGGCTGAGGCAAGAGAATTGCTTGAAACCCAGAAGGTGGATGTTGCAGTGAGCCGAGATCGTGCCACTGCACTCCAGCCTGGCGCCTGGCAACAGAATGAGACTCTGTCTCAAAAAAAAAATTAGCTGGGCATGGTGGTGGGTGCCTGTAGTCCCAGCTACACGGGAGGCTGAGGAGGAGAATCGCTTGAACCCGGGAGGCAGAGGTTTCAGTGAGCCAAGATCACACCACTGCACTCCAGCCTGGGTGAGACAGCAAGACTTGGTCTCAAAAAAAAAAAAAAAAATCATTTCCAAAATAGTACATATAAGACTGAATCTCAGAATGTATTTTCTCATAGACGCAAAAGTAAAAACCACATTTTACACAAAACATCTCTGGAATAAAACCATCTTTCAAAGGATAATTTAAAAAAACTGAAAAACATAATTCTCTTAAAAGCATAGTGAATACTTGTCAAAGATTTACTTAAGTCATTAATGAGGGATCAGCAGCTTGACAAGACAGGTTTAAAGGAGATGCAAGAAACCAGTGTATAGATAGTAGAAAAAGGAATGCTGGAATAAGACTGCAAAATTAGATACAAACCTGGTTAATGTCCTACAGGACAGTAATAACCTAACTCTGGGGATAATTTTTTATCTTAGCAAAAATAATTGCAATGTTTCAATCTTCTACAAGTTAATATCTAACTTTTAGGATCTGAATATTAATAGTAAATGGTAAGTCAAACAACATAACCCTTCCCTGCTGTGTCAGACAACACTTAGACAGGCTTGTTAAGACAATGGTCTAATATGACTCTAAAATGGCCTATGTTTATCTTATGCCTTGTTTCTAAGTTTTGGATACTTTTTCTTGTGACAAAAAGTTTCTGATTTTTATTTTTTCTGGAAAAATCAAGTTGATCCAGTACTCACAAATAAGAAAGCTTAAGAATATAATGAAATAAAATATCTAAACCAATTTAAACTCATCTTAAGACTATTTCCACAATGTTGAGGTACCCTTGGTATTTTTTTAATGGCACAGTATTTGGGTCTTACAATGCAGCGCAAGCATCAGACTATGTGATGAAAGGATATTTTATCATTACTAATTATGATGTGACTATCTGGCTAGATTAGAGCTGCCACCTCTGAGAGAAATGAAATCTGTTAAATTGAGGCCACCAGCCCTGGGGCTACCATACCAACCAAATAATCATTATGAACTTGCAATTAACTGGCAACACTGAGAATTAGAGACAGTAAAATAGGCAATTTTCTCTGTATTCCTCATACCTACAATGGTAAATATTACCTTTACCAATTCTGTTTCTTCTGCCTGAAGGTGAAGATCTTCATCTGGCTGGGTAACTTCAGGGCTCTGATGGGATACAGGATAAGATCACTCAGTGACAGACTGCCTATGACCTATAGCACAGCCTCAACAGGCAGCACCAATCTACTGTGGATGCAGTATATATGGGATGATCTCTTCTACTGTTTTACTTAGGGCTGAAATGAAAGTCCCAATGTAACATGCAATCATAATCTTTCACTTTGTTTGAGACAATGACAAATACATGTAAGATTGGAATATAACTACTTTTAACTAAGAACCTATCAAAACAAAAATAAACTTACAATAAGGGGGCTTCAGACACTACATAATTCTGCTTTTTCACACTGGGATGAAATCTATTTCTCAGAAAGTAACTAATTTGCTCAGGATTAATATTCAAAACCTACTAACACTATCTGTTTTCCACAACTGAAAATCATTACGGTGTTTGGTGAGGGGACATAGCTCAGTAGTCACTCAGGAAATATTTCAGCAACCTCTTAGAACACTGTTTTCTTCCAAAACTTAGAAACTATCTCCATGAGGGCCTGATTTTTTTTTTTTTTTAGATAGAGTCTCTTGCTCTGTCACTGGCCGGGTTGGAGGGCAGTGGGGCGATCATGGCTCACTGCAACCTCTGCTTCTCAGGTTCAAGCAATTCTCCTATCTCAGCCTCCTGGGTAGCTGGGACTACAGGCACACACCACCACACCCAGTTAATTGTATGTTCGTTTTTGTTTGTTTGTTTTTTTGTAGAGACAGAGTTTCTCCATGTTGCCCAGGCTGGTCTCAAACTCCTGGGCTCAGGCAATCCGCCCACCTCCACCTCCCAAAGGGCTACTAGGATTATAGGCATAAGCCACCATGCTCAGCCCATGAGGGCCTAACTTAATAAATGAAATGAAATTTTACTTCACTTTCTAGTTATTCATTTTAGATTTTGTGCCATTTTAAAAAATCATGGATAATAAAGCTACAAACTTAAAGATCATTAGGAAATATGTTATACTAACTCTCCCTCAACAAGTTGTTGTCTAAAAAGAGCGCATATATTCAGTTTCTAGAAAATTAATGATGATATAAATCCTCCAACTCTGATAGAGACGATTGATAGGGTGATATATGACTAGACAAATAACGTTATACCTAGTAATCAAGTGCAACATCTTGGTTTTATTTATCTTTTCAAGGGTATGTTTTAAGAATTATTTACATGTTGCATGTTCTGGCTACAAAGAATAAAAGACCACAATCAGGAGTTACTACAAATCATTACTATCACAAATTACATTTGTTGGTATTGCTTTTCTTCTGAATATATTTTTAAAAGTCACTGCTAAAACACAGCTTTTATCACATTAATACTAATCCCAAGTACACTCAAACATGCATACACATTTCAATGTCTTCAGGGAAACATTAAAAGATTCATCTTAAATATCTAATTTCCAGCCCTATCTGTCACAACTTTCCAACTTGAATCACAAGCTCACCCACTGTTCTCTGCCTCTGAAGCCTTGCCCTTAAAGCCCTTTCTCACCTGAAGTATTTTCACAAACACTTTATGACAATTAAAATCCCACTTTTAAGTCAGTACCAGTTTAAATCTAACTATCCTCATGGGCTTTCTGTGACCAGTTTAGCCCACACTAACATCCTGTTTCTTTACATAGCACTCATCATCTTTATCATACTGATAAGCAACTACTATTCATCTAAATAATGTAATTATTAATTTTTTATGTTTTACCTCAATGAAGCTGTAAATTCTCTACAGCCAAGCACTGTCTTAAACATATTCTTTCTCTCACTGTCATCTATTAAGCCTGATCACCTCTTAATGGGTAGAAAAGAGATCACTGAGAATGGCACAAGGGGAATTGCTCCTATGAATTAGGGCTGGGGTATGTGTTTATGTACATATATTTTCCCCAAAATATTCTAAATAAAATTTCCCAATTAAAAAATATTCCATTCTGCTGTCCCATAAATAACTGATATTTCCTGGGAACAATACAAATTTAATATCAAAATTAAAGATGCCTGTCATAACTAACAACAGTTCAGATATTTTTTGAAAGATTGTGTATCCTGATATTTGGTTAAGTAAGAATACTGCATCCCTCTATAGTTTACAATCTTTACTGTGAACCCAATTTTCATGGGTCTACTTAGTTGAGTTCCCAGAAGGGGTGTCAATGAAATAGAGAAGTCACAAGCCTTCAGGAAAAGTAAAAATACTCTCAAACCAAGACAGTAGGTCAGAAACAGGGAATCCCAACTTACCAGAGGTCCAATTGAAAAAAACACAGCAGCCATAATCTCTGCCTCTGTGTTTCCCTCTCTGGAAAGAGTGGTGTTTTGCAAAGACATATCTAAGGAAGAGAAATAAGCCATGAAAAACAATCCTGCCTTGGGGATTTCAGACACACCAAGTTGGAATCCTGACATACAAGTGAGCATGACCTCCCTAAGGAAGCACAAGAGTAACCCTGAAGATCAGTGAGGGACAAAGACCCTTGCTCCTGCAGAGTTTGAGATTTCGGCACTGTTAACTATAGTCACAACTAACAGACTAACCATTGTACAAGGAACTTCAAAAATACTTTCTCATTTTATTTTCACATTAACCTAATAGGAATAATATTCCCATTCCATAGATGAGGAAACTGAGGCCTAGAAAAATTAAACTACCCAAGGCCATGCAGATACATAACTCCAAATCAATGTAATTCCAAAACCCACACACCTTTTCCACTGAATCAACACGCTATGTAAAGTACAAGAAAATACTTCAATCTTTCTTTGCCACTCATCTAACAAACATTCTAAGAATCTTCTTTTCTTGCCTTTCCTATGAAGTCAATTTCCCAACATTTTAGGAGATCTGTTTCATGTAAAGAGAACACCATGACTTCAAAATTTAAATGATATTGGAAATCTTGACTTACCCCCTCCCAATCTGATATTCAAATAGGTCTTTATCCTTTCTATATCAGGCAAACTTCAATAAAAAGGAAGCAGGTATAATAACAGAAGAGACATGAAATTAGGTGCACAAAGCATTAAGCTATAAAAAAAGCATATACTTAGTAAAAGTTTTACACTATGGGAGAATAGGGTGGCAGAGATCTTTTCCAGGGATGCTTGGTCACAGCTTTTTTACCTTTGGCTAATGATATCTATGGCCTTGCTGAGGCTGAGCTTGGTTCAAGAACCAGGAGTGCCTGATGTAGGATATCAAATGGTACAGATTGTTAATATAAATTTTTCTAGGATGGTGATATTAGCAGTTAATATAAATTTTTCTAGGATGGTGATATTAGCAGTTAATATAAATTTTTCTAGGATGGTGATATTAGCCTCATGAATAAAAGGGCAGTGACAAAATAAGTATTGAGTTTTTGAGAAACTCTCCCTTGTGCAAAAAGTGTTATAAGCAATTATATGGTTCTCCAATTAGGGTCTTTGCTATGCTTAAGCATGTGGAATCTGCTCCTTCCCTGAATGTGTACCTTGCTTCTCATAAGATTCAGTAGCTTTGCTCAATAAACATAGTAGAACTTAATCTAACCTTACAATGTCTAACAATCAGAAGCTCATCTGAAAAGATACTTGAAGTACTTAACCATTATTCTTTGAAAAACAAGAATATTAATATATAAAGTAAGGTTATCATGAATGTAAAGAATATTAGGGATACAAAAATTAAATCGATATGGGTATACTGAAATTTATTGTCAGATTAATTTACTAACTCAAAGAGGAGACCAGGGTTTAGTTAAATCAAGAAAATATGTGAATATCTTGGCTGGGCACAGTGGCTCACAGCTATAATCCCAGCACTTGGGAGGCCGAGGCAGGCAGATCACTGATGTCAGGAGTTCGAGACCAGCCTGGAGGAAAGCAGTGCAGTGTGGAAATAAAAGAGGTAAAGAATGAATAGTATGAGAAGATATCTGTTTTGAAGCTTCAAGGTAACCAGTAAGTGGTTTTGCTTATATAGTAGTTCTCTAGATTTTTTTTCATAGAGCCTTTTGCAAATGTAATGAAAATTATGACTCCTCTCCTGTTTTCTAATGAAAACACCCCATGTACAATTAGAGGGGTCTCAAAGCTGAGAATGCCAAAAACTCAATGGATATGCTTATTAAAAAGGAAATTCTTTGGCTCCATCCAAGATAGAAATCAGGATCTATAGATGTGAGGCACAGATATATATTGCTTGAACAAGTACACCTTAAGAAATATTTAATGTAACATGTTAACATATTAATTATATGTTAAATTACATAATGTTTTAGTTTTAAAACATTTATGAAATATTGTAATATTTAAGAAATATTGTCCTGAAAGGTGAAGGAGCGGGAGGGGAGTGGAGAATGAGGAATTACTTAATGGGTATAATGTACATCATTCTGGGGATGGATACCCTGAAAGCCCTAATTTCACCACTACACAATCTATCTATGCATACCAGTAAATCTTAACTTTTTGAGGGGTATGAACCCATCTGAGAATCTGACCTTGTCCACAGAATAAAGCACATGCATATATGATGTTGCATGTTATTTCAGGGAACTTGAAAAGTTACTCTTCCTCCCAAGCCCATACACTGAACCGCAAGTTAAGAAACCCAGTTTTACAAGGTTTCAAAGAAAAAAAAAAATGAGCCAAGAATAATAATATTGTCCCTCCTCAAGCCCCCAAACACTAAAGCAGACCTACAAAGAACAACATGAGGCGTTTTCAGTTCCAAGGGTCTAGAGTAATGATTTTCTTCATCTTTAACATTTGTCAAGAATGACCTGAGTCATCATTTAAAAAATATTCGTAAATATTAATAAACTCCTTGGCAATACTTCATGTAGATTATGCTAGTAACATAAATTTAACAACCAAACTGCAATAAACACCTTGTTTTATTTTATAATTAGAATAAACAATATTTAACATTTAATATATTCAGCTTGATCTCTATTGTGTGAATATAATGCAGAGGAAAAAAGACTGCAAGTGAGTAAGCCAAAACTCTACTGACACCTCTGAGACCTGGGACTGTGATGTTTACCATTCTTTCTGCTTTTCTGTACTTTCCAAGTAGACAAAAATAAGTATCTATATATACATAGGAGTCTGGAATCGGAATAAAATCCCAGAGTGGCTGGCCACATCTCCAGGTTTTAACCTTGGTTTGGCTACTGCAGAACTGCGACTACAGGCAAGTCACTTGAGTACTATGAATCAGGTATTAGTACTTGACAGTAACCACACTATGTTTCTACTGTCCCCTTTGTCATTATGCAGAAGATATCTAGGCCCATATTTCCCCAGTTATAATTTCCCTAGATATTTACAAGCTCTGTCTTTCGGACTATTGCAAAAGTATCCAGAGACTTAAGGAGAAACTTTACTTGTTTTGCTTCCTTGGCCAGTGTATTTAGAAATAATGAAAGGTCTATGTTTTTGTTAAGAATCTCAGCACGATGTACTAGTAAAGCATTTCCCAACCAATGCAATAATACCATCCTTATGTCAGGGAGTGACAAGTGATTAAAAGGTGATTACAGTATTTGAAATGCTATATTTCAGAAGCTGCGTCGGTGACCGAGAGAGTAGCGCAGGTCCCCTGATGTGAAACCTAGTTCCATCCCTGCCAGTTCAGAAGCCAGAAGGGACATGCTCCTGCCAACCTCGCCCTCTTTCCCTAACTGCTCTCCTCTATCCACTCCGAGGATCCCCTCCACCGCCAGCAAGGCGCGGGGCTGGGCAGACAGGAAAAGTCGGGTCAGGGGCCCCCTCACCCCCCGGCCTTACTGGAATCCCAGCTCACACCCCGCGCCTGGCTCTTTTTAACCCCAGCGCCTACAGGTCCGCGAGGAAGGAGGTTCCCGGGTTCGGACCCGGGCTAGGAGGCCGCAGAGGGCACTGGGCCGGACCTATGAGGGAGACCGGCCAGAGATGGAGCCCGCACTCGGGAAGGAGGCCCATCCCCAATCACCTCTCAGAGGTGGGTGGGTCCGCTCAGGGACAGGGCTCTCGAGGGAACGGCCACGCCCCGGACGCCGTCGAGAGCCAAGCGCCAAGGGAGGGGCGGCGGGCTATAGAGGCCAGGCGCCTGGGACATCGAGTACCTGGCGGCCGAACTGAGGACAACTGAGGGCACTCGCAGAGCAGGGCGGGAACGCTTCCAGCAATGGCGGCGGCTCAGCGGGGCTGGCCTCCAGGCAGGGCAATGCGCCTGCGCAGCCGGAGAGTCCGAACTACAATGCCCAGAATCCTCAACGCCTGAGCCCCCGCCCCTTTTATCTGCTGGTGAAGGAATTGGCTCTTTGGGGGGTGCGAAAAATTCAAATTGGATACACGAACGAATGAGGTGGCTCACTTCTGTAATCCCAGCACTTTGGGAGGCCGAGGCGGGCGGATTACGAGGTCAGAAGATGGAGACCATCCTGGCCAACATGATAAAACCCCGTCTATACTAAAAATACAAAAATTAGCTGGGCGTGGTGGCGAGTGCCTGTAATCCCAGCTACTCGCAAGTCTGAGGCTAGAGAATCGCTTGAACCAGGGAGTTGGAGGTTGCAGTGAGCTGAGATTGCGCCACTGCACTCCAGCCTGGCGACAGAGCTAGACTCCGTCTCAAAATAATAATAATAATAATTGGTACACTTCTATTGAGAAGCCTTGACTATGTGACAAAAGCGATAACATTAGAGATACAAGTAATGACACACCCTTGCCTTGGAACATTTAGGTGCGACTAAAGAAAGCCCTTGAGAGAACAGATAGATGTGATCCAGACAAATGTGTGAATAAGTGCTTGGAAACACTTATTTCTAAACAATTCACTTTATGACAATTCCCTCAGAGTTGAAAGAGACAACAATTGATGACTATAATGCCAATCAAGTAGAATGGATATGAATGCCTGAAAATAAACTGGAAATTTTAAGGCCAAAATTCTTCAAAATACAAAGAAACAAACTTTTTTGAAGACAAATAGCTGTAGAAGTTCTCTTCAGTGCATACAAATGATAATCCTTAAAACATAGTGATTGAAAGTATTTATTTGCAACAAATTTATTTGACCACTTACTCAAGGACTGCTCCTCCAAGAGCTATATTAAAGTTTACTTACTTTCTTCCCTACCAAAGACAATATTTTTTAAGGATGGAAACTAGGTCTCGTGGAGTTCACAGTGCCTACTTAGAAGACTGCTTGCATCATGAATAAACAAAGGAAGAATTAATGAATAATTTAGGACCCTACAGTCCAACACACTTCAGCATATCGAAATGCACACGGAATGAGGTACATCCTCTAAGGAGAGTGGCACTGAAGCATAATCAAAACAACAGGGTATTCTCAGGAGGACTGGAATGAAAAGAAATTTTCAGCGAAAAAGATTGTTCAAAATATTTATTCAATACACCCTGAAATTAGAAACTGAGCAAACGTCTTTTGGAGATCCTAGTTCCCTTACATTTCCTGCAGATGAAGATGAGCCAAACAGAAGTCCAAATCATGAAACAATAATAAAATAAGCCACTGTTAATGCAAATCAGCACAAACAATAAACAGCAAAAACGTATCCCCCAAAACTTCAGATGCAGAGCTCATTTGATCAACAATTTAAAATACCTATATTTTAAACGTTTAAAGACATGATGGATGGAACGAAAAACATTATCAAGAAACAACAGAATTAAAATAAGCCACTTATTTCAAACTTATTTTGAAATAAGTTTCAAAAAAATCATGTGGCTCTTTTAGAAATAAAATAATTAAGAGAGTAGATTAATGTATCATAGATGAACAAATGTTCAATTTTATTGAATACCACATGAGGAAATTGTATATTTACTTCATTTTTTTTAAAGATTTTTCTGCCTTTTATATTTCTAAAGGAAATCACCTGATACCTTCTTTAGGAGCTAGGTTTTTTGTTGTTGTTGTTTTCATTAAAAAAAAAAAACTCAGATGAGCGGGATGGCTCACGCTTCTAATACCTGCATTTTGGGAGGCCAAGGCAGGTGGATCACCTGAGATCAGGAGTTTGAGACCAGTCTGACCAACATGGGGAAGCCCATCTCTACTAAAAATACAAAAATTAGCCAGGCATGATGGCACATGCCTGTAATCCCAGCCACGCGGGAGGCTGAAGCAGGAGAATCGCATGAACCTGGAAGGCAGAGGTTGCAGTGAGCTGAGATAGCGCCATTGCACTCCAGCCTGGGCAACAAGCTCAAAACTCTGTCTCAAAAACAAACAAACAAACAAAAAACCACCACCACGACATAAAAACAAACCCAGAGTGCAAATACAGCGTTTCCCATTATAAGGAACAGAGAGAATTCAAAACAAAAGATTTTTTTTTAAATGGCTCTGCTAGGCCGGGCTTTGAGAGGCCAAGGTGGGAGGATCACGAGGTCAAGAGCTCAAGACCAGCCTGGCCAACACGGTGAAATCCCATCTCTATTAAAAATACAAAACTTAGCCCAGCATAGTGGCAGGTGCCTGTAATCCCAGCCACTCGGGAGGCTGAGGCAGGAGAATCGCTTCAAACCAGAAGGCAGAGGTTGCAGTGTGCTGAGATGGTGCCACTGCACTCCAGCCTGGGCAAAAGAGCAAAACTCTATTTCAAATAAATAAATACATGGCTCTGCTAAAGAAGGAAAGGTATAGTTTAGAGATCTTAAAAATTCTGTTAGATGATGTCCTTCAGCAATGTTTGGAAATTCAAGAGCAAATAAAATGTAGGGGAAAAAATCATTCAGAATTTGTTACTGGCATAGAGAAATATCAGAAGAAGAAGTGTATAGGGCTGAAATAGTTTTGAATAAAAACCATGTATTATGGTACACCATGTAGGATGTGTTGGCAAGCACATGGAGACCAAGGATGCTACAGGAGTCAAAGTGCTGGCAATTATGTGACAGCACAGAGTGGACTAACAAGTCATAACAGTGCAGTTAGAAGGGGGTAACAATTACAGGCATGAGCCACTGTGCCCAGAATAAGAATATATTTAATACAATTGACTTATATAATATCCAAATTGAGGCAAAACTAAGGCAGCATATTGTTTAGAGATACATACACATTTGGTTAAACTATTAAAAAAAACACAAAGAAATGTTTAATCCAATATTTAGGGTAGATTATTACTCCTATAGGGATAAAATCCAGGAAAGACAGACACACAGGTGACTTCAGAGGTATTGGGAATGTTTTATTTCTTATTGGTAGGAGTACACTGTTGTTCAACTTGTAGTGATATTTATTATGGACATTTTTGTGTGCATTATATATTTAATAATTTGAAAACTGTTAAAGACCTCTTCTGTGAAGGCAGAAACTAATGCTTTTTGGCTTCAAATAATAAACCAATGGTTAAAACTTACTCGAAGGTAGATTTCGATTCAGACTGTAAAACTTTATGCTAACAACGAACTTCTTTGGAAGATAGAGTAGGCTGCCTTGCAAAACAATGAATTTGAATTCTTGGAGAAGTGCAGGCAGACATTAGATGAATCCTTGCTTAGAATTTTTAAATATTGTCTTGGGAATTTGACTGCATGACCTGCAAGCTCCCTTCCACATAAGGATTTTGTGTTTACATGAATATTCCTTTCAATAATACATGTATTTTTCCTCCCATTAAGCAGGTAATAAATAGATTTGTATCATCACAACGTGTTGTGGAATACTTCGGAATCAGTGACATTCAAGAACAAGATGGTAGACTTTGTCTGGGAAGAGCGGAACTTAGTGGAACCCTCAGGAAGGAATCTGCACAAGGGTGTGATTTGGGGAAACTACAGGAACCTGGTCTCTCTGGGTAAGAAGAGTTTTGTTGTGACTTGCTATCTTTCTGTTGGACCAAAAGGATCTTAGGATTCAGGGATTTATGAATACCTTATGAACCCTTATGGAGTAGTTCTATCCCCATTTCCAAGTAAAAACTCTGCTCTTTGTAAAGGGAAAAATTTATATTTTAATTGGCTCATTTTGAAAACTCCACCTAAGGACAATCCCCCAGACCTAGGACTGTCTCTCTTACAGTTTCTTTTCAGATACTTCAATTCTGCCTTTTTTTTAATTAAAAAACTATATTTTTTGCCAACTCATATTGGTTCTGTGATGCAGCGTATTTTGTTATCCTTGGGAGCACATCTTTGATCCCTCCCAACTACTTTTGTAATCATATGGAACTTCCTATATTGATCTTGCCTTCCAAAATATTATGTTCACATAGAACTCTGGAATGGCTTCTTGTCACCAGTATAGCGAAGTCCCATTTCCCTTTTCCTGAACAGGGCTTGCAGTTTCCAAACCAGACAAAATCTCCCAGTTGGAGAAAGAAAAAGGATCCTAGATGGTAGTGAGACAAATTTCAAGAAACTGCATCCAAATAAGTAAATGAGAATGAGGATAAGATTCATTATAAGTAACATCCTCAGTTGGTGTTCAAAAGTTATCTTTTGCCTGATTAAAGTGGGTCACACCTGTAATCCCACCTGAGACAATCTTGGCAATCTAATGAGACCCCCATCTCTAAAAAGAAAAGAAATTTAAAAATTTACCAGGTGTGGTGGCATGTAACTGTATTCCAAGCTACTCAGGAGGCTGAGGTGGGAGGATTGCTTGAAGCCAGGAGTTCAAGGCTGCAATGGGCAAGGATTGCACCAACGCATTCCAGCCTAGGTGACAGAACCAGACCCTGTATCCCTAAAAAACAAGCAAACAAATAAACAAACCAAAACCCACAAACAAAACAAATCCCGTTTAGCAAAATACTTGCATGAGGTAATAAAAGGCATGTACCAAGTGCCTACAACATAATGTCATGATGAAATATTAAGTGCTTCCCATGAAATTAGATTCAAGACAAGTTTCCATCCACCATCACACTTCTATTCCATGTTGCACAATGTAAAGGGGCCTGCCCAAAGTCATAACAGTGCTCACTGGGTAAGTCAAGAGAACCCAGTACAGCACTTTAGATCCTTCATTATAGTTTTGTATTAAAACTGCTCCTGTTATCCTTTGGACATGAGTCCCTTAAGTATTATCATTCAAATTCATGTCCATTTTCACACTGCTATAAAGAACACCTGAGACTGGGTAATTTACAAACAAAAGAGGTTTAAT